GCTCCAAGGTTTCGTTCGCATCACGAAGCGCCTTCTGCTCAAGACCTCGGTCGACGTGGAGCGCCGTCCTTCGCTTTCGCAACACGACCGCACCGGTGTCGGGCACGCCAACCACTCCCCACCTCTTTGTAGCCAATTAGCTAGCAATGCCCTTGCTCCTACTAGCTTCTTGTTACTACTAGTAAGGCACTTGTTACTAGAAGCGATGCACTTGTTCCTAGTAGCTTCTTGCTCCTAATAGCAATGCACTTGTTACTAGTAGAGATGCCCTTTGCTCCTAGTAGCGAACCTTGTTACTAGTAAGGCCAGGAGCCCCGTTCGTAGCGATGCCCTTTGTTCCAACATGGATGGCACTGTCGGCTGAGGTTCCTGGGGCCAACACAGAGTGCCTGCTCTGCCTGGGAATAGCTCTCCTGCATGGCTAAAGCTCTCCAGTCCTGCAGAAAACTCATCGACCTGGCAGTCCTGCAACTCTGGAAGTTGAGCATCGTTGACATCAACCTATAGGCACACAGTCTTCGTTGAAAAAACAAAAGGAAAAAAAACGTGTTGTTTACGTGAAAAATAAGTGCTGTAAATAGATTCAACTGATGATTCAATTGATGTTTCAATTGATGCATAGAGCAATTAAAACCTCTCTTCGTGTTCCAAGCAAGTATATAGACCGTTTGCATGAGCTCACGGCACGACCCTCTGGAGCCATCTGATATCACATCACCAGGAACGTTCCGATTTGTAGCCGAAGGCAAGGCAAGTCTTTTGCCTTTGAGCCAAAGCAGAGAAGCAATGGCCTCCAACCTACGAGTGATCTAATCAATAAGGTGCCCATAGAAACATTCCTTGGGAACCTATACTCAGTACTCGAGTGCCAAATCCTCCAGGGCAGGTGCTTGGGACAATGTCCATCTTCTCCCAAACAGACCTGAATCAAAATTAGTCACTGACGGTTGCTGGACTCCGTCCTACAAGTTTGGTTTTGGAGTGATACATTGGACTGTCAGAGGTCATCAAGCGCATGGAATGGATGGATCCAATCCAAAGTTCTGTGGCCGGACAATTCTTGAATCGGGCAATGTGGAAACACCCTAGGCATACTATTGATGGACGACATCATGCATCGGGAGCCATTGGTATTTCAGTGGATCAGGTGCCGGACGAGGCTACCGTTAGTTTACTCTCCCTGGAATTACTATGAAACTGGAAAACCCCTGTTTGTAGACACCAGTGTCGCCTTCCTTCCGTGATCTGGACAGGGCCACGACGTAGTTCCCCAAAAAATATGGTTCACAAAGTGGAGAAAACCTTGTGCAGCAATGTTTGCAAGCTCTTTGCCAGCACAATTGTTTGAGGTAACTTGTGGAGTCGAACGAAATCGGATCTGAATGAAAAACACAATAGTTAACTGGAAAAAATGTTTAGGTTTATTTGTGTTGAACTTGAGAGTATTTAAGTCTACGTGCATGCTTTGTTTGTTTTCCGAAAATATTTCACCCAACAACCAATATCATTTTGTTTGGATCCCTTGCTTTGTTTAAGGCCTTAACAGCCGGATAAGCCAGCTTCAGTGAACTGAGCATGTCCAGCGTTTTCTCTTTTTCACCGCCCATCCCGCCTACAGTGTGCCAGAGGTTAATTGCTACCAGTTCGTTGCCGCCAACATGTTTTTTTTCTGAAAACACTTCACAACCCTGTCTCCTCTGCCCAAACACCATGAACCCTACTAACGACTTTCAACCTGCAAACAAGTTAGAAGCATTGAAGAAAGAAGTGTTCATGGTCCTAGCCCAGAACCCTCGTTCGTTAGAAGTTTGTGGGGTCGTGAACCAAAACGGACACATGTCCGGATCCCACGTAACCACAAAAGGAGATTCCAGGCCTCCACCAGCCCTCACAACTCGACCTGCAAAGCTCGGAAGAAAGATGGCCTTCAACCGCACCAAGCACTGCAGCTCCCACTTTCATCTCGCATGTTCAACTCATTGCTTCGCATCTTGCGAAGACGTGCGAGCGTTGTCCTTTCAAACGGTTGGCCGCGAGTCTGTTGGGTTGGTGTGTAAGAAAGGTTGCAACTTTCTGAAAAATGTTCTACCACGTTGCGGTATGGGATCACACAGAAGAACCGTTGTGGGTGTAAGAAGTGCTCAAGGCCCACACCATGACACGTCGCGCACCACGCGCTCTATTCAATCCTACTGAGGCCCTTGCGCCTGAAATGCTTGCGGCACATGTCTCAACATGGCATGAAAGGAACCTTGGAACGACCGCTGCAACCTTTTCACAAGGCCTTCAGGCAAACTTGCTACGTGCAGTCGCAGCGTGGTTCAGAGAAGGCTTTGATTCCCCCCGAAGTGCACCAATTATCCCGGCAAGAGACCCCAAACAGTGTGTGTGTGTGTGTGTGTGTGGGGGGACTAGAGGTGTAGCAGCAGAAAGTCTAGAGATCTAGACCCATTGGGGTCCAGAGAGGTGATGGTGGTGATGAAGGCGGAGATCGTGGAGTGTGAGTGAGAGTGAGAGTGTGAGAGTGTGACTCTCTCTCTCTCCCCCTCTCTCTCTCTGTCTCTGTCTTTGTCTCTGTCTCTGTCTCTCTCTCTCTCTGTCTTTCTCTGTGTCACAGAGCGTCACAGAACTAAGACTGAAGGTTGGAAGGGCAAACAACATGCCTGTGCCCACCAAGTTGGCAAGGGCCCATTCTTCAAAGCAGCAGTCTTCAAAGCGGCTGCTACTTCTGGCCCGTGATGCCAGTGACACACACAAGCACGTGGAAGGCCTGCGCAGCATTGGCGGCCGATGCACCAGTCGCTCCCGTGCCTGCATGGCTGCAAGCCGTGCTTCCCACTTGGTTGGGGAAGCTCTGGAAACATAGGCAACGGCCTTTGCACTCATGCCTTGCCAGTGAGCGCGCTGTGCAAGGCCAATCCTCGCTGCGGAAGCTTCGTGCATCTGAGGCATACCTGGACTTTCCTGATCTTTGAACGGGTGGCAGAGTCACCCGGGCACTCTCCATCAAAACTAGGCACGCATGCAGCTTTTCGGTTGGTCTTCCTTTGGTGTCACCAACGGTGGCCGACTCGAAGGACCCCCACGCGGCCCACTAGGCAGCCGGATTCGACCTTCGACTCCCAGGATCTCCATGTTGTCATCCCAAGCCCTACACTGTCAAAAGATTCCAGCGGTCAATCCAAGGTTCCTCTCATGCCATGTTGAGACATGTGCCGCAAACATTTCAGGCACAAGAGTCCCAGTAGGTTTGAATCAAGCGTGTGGTGCGTGACATGTCATGGTGTGGCTTGTGAGCACTTCTTACATTGGTAGCGGAGCTGTTTTTTTGGAGTTGCACCAGGTCATCCTCGACATCAAAATGACTTGAAGAGTGTTGTTCTTCAAGTACTAACAAGGTAGCAAGTAAAGGGCAGTTTAGTCCAAGATCTAGGGCCTTGCAAGACCAGTCGACTAGGTGCTGAGTCGATCTGCCTTAGGAAAAATGACAGTGTCCCACTACTAGTAAGGCACTTGTTCCTAGTAGCTTCTTGTTACTACTAGTAAGGCACTTGTTACTACTAGCGATGCACTTGTTCCTAGTAGCGTTCTTGTTACTACTAGTAAGGCACTTGTTACTACTCGGAAAAGGACAACACCGTCCCATTTTCCGTTCCGCGGATCTACCGCCCCCTTTGGGCAACCAGCTAACCGCGGAGCCGCACAACTTCGGTGTCGGGCAACTTTCTCTCCTTAGACACAGCTTTCCGGAAGACACTCCACAGAAAGAGTTCTGTGTTTGGAGCATTCTTGGGAAAATAGCAACAGAAACCCAGTTTGCCACCGAGACATGTGGAAGGGTCTTTGGTTCAATAGCTTTGCACGGTCTACGTGTGTCACATGCACCCCTGGGTGGGGCAATAGGGCTTGAACTCAAGGAGTGCCTTACGATTGCGAGGCACATTGGTTATACATGAATGAAATAATTCCCCTCCATCCAAGCGATGTAGTGCTGGAGTTACTATGGAGACAAATTCCGCGACAGATGTGAAAGGCCAGAAAATATACAGCCGAACAATGTGGCTGAACATACATGGGAGTTGATCTAAATTCCTTTATCTGGGATCCGTCATTTTCGCCAAAACAAAATTTACTTTCGCCAAACTTTCGCCTTCCTCCGTTTTATCTTTCGCCGAAGTACGTTGTATTTATGTGTGCCATGTATGTTGTGTTTTGTTCACGTCAATGGCTTCTTCTTTACTGGCAAACACAAAATAGAAACTTCACTGTTTGTCAGCAATGTCTTCTACTTAACTGTTGACACCCTGTACGTCTCTTTTGTTCCTCCTGGGTGTCAGCAAGAATCAAAATTGCAAGAATCACTGTAGTAGCCGGTCACTCAAACTTACTCATAATGGGCTGAACTTTCGCCAAACTTTCGCCTTTTGCGGGGTAGAGTTTTGTGGCAAAGCCACCCCCCAAAGCAGGAGTGGGAATAGTAGTAGTAGCAGTAGTAGCAGTAGTAGTAGTAGTAGTGGTAGTAGTGGTAGTAGTAGTAGGAGTAGGAGTGGTAGTGGTAGTGGTAGTGGTAGTAGTAGTAGTAGTAGCAGCAGCCGCAGCAGCAGCAGCAGGTTATCTAACTTCCACAGCTCATCTAGCTTCTGAGTCACTGCCACCAGCTGTTCAGGAAGCAGATGAACATTCATACAAAAGTACATATTTAATCTTTCGCCAGATCTTTCGCAAAAAAAACAATCGCCAACTCGAGAAAAAACTTTCGCCAAATGAGATTTTGATATGTTCCGGGTCATCGTCATACACACTGCTGACGAGGACCTTTAGATCGACAACCACATATCTCCAGAGTCACAACTCTTATTAGAGATGAAGCTGCAATTCAATTGTTTCACGCTGCAAAGCACAAGTCACTTATGTTCAAAAACTGAAGCATGAAGATCGATGTCCACTAGCTTTTGTGTCTCTGGCTCACGGTTTCCACATTCTCCATGCAGCCCAGCCACTTAGTAGTAAACACGCAAAGCTTCGTAGACACGGTCATCGAAGACAGAGAGCGCTATGGCGAAGGCCTGCTGTCGCGGCCGCGAAGATCGCTACGAAGCTCGCTACGAAGCTCGCTACGAAGCTCGCTACGAAGCTCCACGGAAAGGACGTGTTCCACAAAAGCAGCTAGTGGGATCTGCTCGGCTTAGACTCCTCGACCAGACTTCTTTCATGGCGCCCAATAGCTCCCATGAAATGGAAATCAAATACACAAGAATCGGTTCGGAATTAGAGAAGCATTCCTATCGGTTCCAGCTTTACAGAAATGGTGGGTCCTGAAACTCACCACGACATCGTCTCTATCAACCAACTCTTTGTGTGAGGCATGTTGGGCCAAATCTTGGTGTTCTTGCATTCTGGCAAGATCCCGCCTGCATCGGGCTTAGGGGCCAGGCCGCATCGAAAGAGAAGCCCGTCTCATCAATGCGGCCGAACTGCATGGCTAGGGACTCCTTGCAAGAAATTGGGTCCACGAGCCCATCCATGAGGCGGGGCAGGTGTAGCCTAGGGCCTAGCAGTGGATAGGTAGATGCCATAAGGCTCAACGTAGAATCAAAAGGTTGGGCTTGGAGGCACTTTTCTTGACAGCTGGGGAAGTCTCACCAGACTCCCATCTCCAAATGGTGACTTTCCACACCTGAGAATCGACTGCAGAAGGTAGACAAGGGTCTCACCCACCTTGTATATCATCTGAGACTGCATTTCTGCTGCCATATGGTTCTTCCGAACCAAAGCTGGATCCCTGATCCCTATTCCCCATCCCTGTCCGGCATCTCAGCTTTGAAGCTACTGTCAGCCTGGAGCTGTCTGCGAAAACAACAAATCTCCGACCCCCACAAGAAATAACTCATATTAGGGGCTCCTGGCCTTACTACTAGGAGCAAGGACGCTACTAGGAGCATTCTTACTACTAGTAACTTACTTTAGCAACTCTAGCAGTAGCAGGAGTGTTTGGAGTGTTTGGAGTCGGACTGAGAGGTTTTAGTGGAGAGGTAGTGGTAGCGATGCTTCTTCGTGATGCTCTTCAGGACAAGACCCTCCAAGCCAAAGCCCCAAAGGCCTTTTCTCCCAAATTCCAGATTCCAAAGGACCCAAAGGACCCTTCATGAAAGCCTTCATGAACGCCTTCTTGTCAGCCACATTCTTTTCAGAAAATCATGTGACAGGGCCCTGCGTTGTGTCGACATGGCGCCTTGAGAAGCTGGAAGTTCTTGGACGATGCTCGATGAACTCGATTGTGGAAATTCATCCGATACACCTTTCCTGACGAAGTGCCAAGCCACGCAGAACTCATGGCTTGGGCAACTGGAAGAAAGGTTGACGGTTGACTATGAGAAGTGTCCCAGCTCATAGTGCGGTGTTCGTCACCACATGAAAGCCAATGGTCAAAATCAAGGTGCAAGCGGTATCCAAAGATCAGCAATTGCTCTTAGCGGAAAAGACTCCTTCTTTCTGGGTCATCCGAATTCTTCTGGGTCGAATTTAGCCTTTCTGCCATCCCCTTCTTTGTAGCACGTTTGACGAGATTTGACGAGCGGCGATTTGCATCCCACGTTGGAGATGAGTTGACCATGTAGCGGAACCTCACGACTGGCCGCAAGAAGAAACGTGGCTTTGCTTCACTAGTAGCAAGACCTGTTTCATTCACTAGGAGCAAGGACGCTACTAAAGAGCATCGTTACCAGTAACAAGAAGCTACTAGTATCTCCTGGCACTGCTACTAGGAACAAGAAGCTACTAGTTTCATTCACTGCCTTCGACATCGCTCATCGCCACACTTGGACGTTCCAAGGCACTGGTGCCGCGGCATGGTGCCCTCCGCTGCGGCGAGGAGCTGCCCCTCCTCTCCGGAGTTGGCAAGGTGCTTTGGCTTCAGTCAGCAAGAGTGAGCAAATCAAGTGAAGGGCACGCAAAGCATCAGTGTGCAAGCCAATCCGAAGGAAAAAGAATTAAATATATCCCTGGAAAGATTCGAAGAACATGTCCAATTCTTTGGGGCGAAGAAGAGAAGATGTTCCAAAAAGCATGCGATGTGCAAGGACTAGGGCCATAAAGAAAAAGGAATATATTTGTTGCACTTGTTAGTCCCATTTGTCCACCCCAGAAGTGTCCTGGCCGCCCCGGGAGGAAAAGCTCGCGGTGCCGTCTGGCAAGACCACGTGCCTCAGCTCCAAAGGCTCTGTCTGGAAGTGTATGAATTTAGGGAGACCTCCCAAAAAACCCCCTGCAAAAAAAGGGAAATAGACACATGGATTGGAGGTTCCCCTAGCTCAATACACACACACTTATGCCCGAACTGGCCTTGATGGCCATCGAGGTACACCCCAAGCTACACTACCCCATGGCACTGCAAACAAGAATGCGCGCACAAACAAAACGGATCGAAAAAAAGAAAACATGCATACAGTATATGCCACAACGGACCTGCACATGCCCGCCCTCATGGCCAAAGCACATCCTTCTCGGCGCGTCCGTGGGCTTCCGGAAGCGCAGCGCCGCCAGCTCCTCGCGTAAGGACCCGGAGATCCTGGCGGCACGATGCGCACGATGCACTGCGTGTGCTGCGTTTTGGACCAAAAAGGCACCAAAAGCCCATAGTACTCCATCTCCAAAGGGATGCTGTAAAGTTTCCGAGGAGGGTTTCTGGGTGGATCTCCTTTTGGAATCGAATGCTGTGAGTTGTAATCGGAATCAGGTACAATGATCACTTGAAGGTGATAGTGATTGTCTCTTCAACAAGCATTGTCCTCCTATTCCCATGTGCTTGTCATGACCTTCCAATTCAAAAGACACACACGGAGCAAATTCGCGCCTCTGTCCATGCAGCAGGTAGTGAGTACACATTGCATTCCCAGAGAGTCTCCCCAAGAAGCAGGGGGACTCGCGATCGAAGTCCAACCCCTCAGAGAGCTGCTCAACAAGTGCTGTCGAAGAATTTCCCGTCAAAATACGTTTGATGGATTTGGAACGAAACCATATGGCTATCGCTCTTAGGTGGGAGGCCATGCTAGTAGGCTCGTGTCGGAGCAATGGACTGCAGGGAAGCTTCTTTCTTTTGCGCTCAGCAAATAAATTGTTCGCTCACACTTGACTCTTCATGGCCAACTCCAAAAGTGCATTCTTCCGCTACCCCCTCCCCCCCCAATCTACAACGCATTCGCGATCCACATATTCAGCTATTGAGAAGCGATCAAGCTCTCCCAAAGTCGAGGCGCATTGGAAGAGAGCACATAATAGGGCCCCAGTTTGAGCTGCGTCTGTCTCTCCGCCGCGATCAGGAGCACCTGCGAACGCTTCGATGGATCCATCGAGCCCGACCAGGGGCCGGCGAATGCAGGGCACAAATAAAGGCAGCTCGCAGGATGGTTTGTAGTATCCTCCCACTTCCGCACTGTGACTGTGTGCACACCTCACACAGGCACCAAGTGTCCAGTGATCAAAAAAGTGAGTACGAAGCGAAACGAAGGTAAGTAGGCATTCGTTGTTTTCACTTGGGTCACCCACTTGTAGCTCAAGTCTGCCACCCACACAGCCACACATCTCCCGTCATCTCACCCTGAGAAGCAAAATGCACCTGACAGCTCCACTGCTCCGACCCCGGCCTCCTCAGCGCAGGGCGGCGTCACGTAGAGCCCATAGCGGGGCCGCTTGAGGCCGCCGGCAGCGCGAAGGACCTGGCGTGGATGGTCACTCTGGCGAACGTGCGGATTGTCATGGCTGAGTGGCTGATGGATTCTGATTGCTACGTCAATGAGAGGAAGCAGAAGAACTTACTTCAAGTGCACCACCCCCTGCCCCCCTACTGCACTCTGCCCTGCAGAGTGCCATGGCCCAAGCGTTGGGACGCAAAGTGGTGCCGCGACATCAAGGTGCTCAGTGCAGGCAAAAGCCTCGAGGCATTTTCGGGAGATGATCAATGCTTGATTGCTTGTTATGCGGCCCAGTACGAGGGATAGGCGGTCATAATGTTCAGGCTTTGCCGAAAAGAAAGCAAAAAGAAAGGTCTAAAGGTCTAAAGAAAGAAAGAAACCTAGAAGGGCAGAAAGAAAAACAAACAGGAACTTGGTGAGCAAGCATCCGGAGGCAAACCAATCTGAGCGATTTCGTCAGCTAGCGGGTGGGCGGAGGCGGACCTTTACCTCCTCCAGTTCCCCTTCCTTCCCTGGGAGGTGAAAGGTACCTGTACAACTGAAGGTATGTTCCCTACCTAGGTACCAGGTGCATTTTACCTTAAAAGGTACTTAGGAATGTTCCCCTCCCTTCCCTATCATGCAGCATCTACCCTTTCACCTCCTCAAAAATTGTGTCCTCTTCCTTTGCCTGAATGTCTTACTTTTTGTGTGACTATATCACTACTACTGCCAGTTCTTGTCTTTGGCTATGCCAATGTTCCTCCTTCTCAGCTCGCATTCTTCTAAATGATGCAGGCGATGCCACCCGGAAAGCCTTGCGCCACCAGCATCACCACCCTGATCCATTCCACGCCCAAACTCCCCAAAGATCACCTCGTACAAGTTGAGCCTTGCCTAGTTTTCGTCTGGGAAATTTGACGGTGGAGAACCACTCCAACCTAGTAGCTTCTTGTTACTAACAGTAATGGCTTCCAACCTACTAGCAGTAATAGCCTCCAACCTACAGTAGCTTCTTGTCAGGCCCAACTTTCCAACCCCGAACTGGTCCCTTCGAGCAACAAGACTTTGTCGAAGAACTCGCTGTTCCTCCGCCTTCGGGCCTGTGGGGAAACATGGGTCATCACACAACTCACGGACCTTTTTGCTTCAATAGGCAATGGTATGAGCACTCCTCTCAATCACGCCAAAAAAACTGTAGGGCCCACTCCCCACCACATGGCCGCTCCACCGCCCGGCGGATCCGTCCTTTCTCTTGGCTGCAGGGTCTTGCTCCTCTGACTCCTGTCACTGTAATTGTTTCTACTAGCAAACATTGTTACTACTAGTAAGGCACCTGTTACTAGAAGCGATGCAGTTGTTACTAGAAGCTTATTGTTTCTACTAGCTATGCTGAAGAGCTCGACAATTGACAAGATGCAAAGTCCAGATGCCTTCATAGCTCTGTTGCTCTGTTCATGCTCACAGGCAGCGCCTTCGCTGCCTCCACGCTGGGGTTCGAATTCGTCGGCTCCACTTGTGGAGAGCTTGGCGCAATGGCCTCTTCATCCACATCCTCAGGTGGGAGGAGTTACAAGGCTGGCTCCAAAAAAAGACACTTCACCATCCTTTTCGATCGCTTGCAACGAATGCCTCATAGTTGGGCCTTTCCTCACCTTTCTCAGCCAAGCAACTGTCATGTGCCAGGAGGTGATGGAGCTCGTCCTGAGCAAAAAGAGAAGGGAACACCAAATCCCCAGCTAACACAGGATGGCCTAGGCCCAAGGAAGCAGCCGATCCCAAATTCATCGACTGACTTCCCGAGTCAACGACAGACTTCGGCCGTCGATCCGATCGGCCGCTCCACCGACGCTCCTCGGTCGGTCAAAGGCAAGTCCAGGCACCTGATCCTCAGTCCTGGCATTTCCCGCGGAGAGGTCGCGCGGGCAATGAATGAATAAACGGGGCATTTGTCACAGTTGAAACAGATCGAAAGAATGCTGTGTGGCCGTTGGTGGTGATTCCTTCCATGAGGCTTTCATACGCCAATTGTTTTTACAAGAATGCAACTTGAAAAGCTCTTCAATGGGGCAAGTTGATCTGCGTGTGTAGCTCAGAATAGAGGTCGTTCCTTTCAAATGAACGCTCAATTACCAAGGTTGTGGCTTCAAACGCTCTTGCAGACTTGAATCTAGCTTCCTATTGACTACTCAAGGATCTCGTCCTAGGATCATAGGTCTTGGCGCTACTGTCCTTTACGAGCGAGAATACTGAACGGCTTTGACCTACCAACTAAAAACCTGGAAACGATGCCGCTTTGGACGTGACACCGGTTTTGGAGGTCCTCGGGTAGCCATGGCTTGGGCCATCCACCACTTGCCAGGCCTATGGATTTGGCAGAGATTGACCACACTTGAAGTCACAACACGGTCCATCCACATAGATGTCACAACCATCTCTGCCCCCCAGAGACTCCAGAGGAATCTAAACACAGCAAACACGAACATGTTTCGATTCTTTATCTGAACTGCATAGCGTCAAACTTGAGTGATAGCATTTACCTGCCTTTGGAGGGACAAAGGATCATTTCGGACAGATGTCGTTTCAGGAACCCCAAAAAATACATCCTCACCCCCTTCAGATTCACCTTAGGGAAGCTATTCTGGGTTCGCCTGGGCCTTGCCACCGATCGTCTCCACCTGATGGGCACAGGTAAAAAACACAGCACAAACCGTTTCGGCAAGGTTTGACCACAAGTGGTCCGTCCCACTTTTGCAAATCTGAAGACAAAAGCGAACCACCAAAAAAGGTGATGCACCTTTGCACCAACATCACGAATTCCAACTCTTGTTTGCTTTTGGAGGCCATCGCTATTGGGTTGGAGGTCATCGCTATTAAGTTGGAGGCCATTGCTATTGGGTTGGATGCCATCGCTGTTTGGTTGGAGTCCAAGGTCGTATCGTTTTCTTGCCCCACCTCCACAATCTCAAGGTCCTCTATGTCTCCTCTGCCTGCAGCCCTCAGGTCCAAGTCCTTTGCGTGTCTGGAGCATGGCCGTGGCAATTAAACCCCCTTTACCAAATGTTCTCCCACCTACAAACGACGCTCTTTCAACGGAAAATTGTGTACATGCGCGCGACAAATAAACGTCCGCACTATGCTTTGGCATGCCACTCGCTCTTGATAGCGTGTACTCTTGGAATTTCAATCTGCCAGCTCTACAAATGACCATCTTCGTGCATCAAAGGTACCTCCCCTGCCATCATGGCGGGACAAGTGGAAGGAGAACAACAACAAACAGTTTCACTGGTGCATACATTCTTTTGAGTGAAGTGGAAGTAAAGCCACCACTCACACAAATGAACTGTGTGTGGCCGCAAAAACACAAAGCACGACCAAAAACACACTGTGTGTGATCGTTTTCGCAAGTGTCACGAGCTTTCACAGAGCCGAAATGTTGACATGGCACGGTGAGGCAGCAGAAAGAAAAATCGAGATGAAGTCAATGGATGTCAATGATACTTTCCCTATCCGTGCTGTCTTGAACCGTGTCTGTGTCAAGTTGCTGCAGATCACACCTGGACCTAGCGCCTCTGGCCGGGATTGCTTCCTGTCAACATGGCAACCTATAAAATCGAAAGAAGCAGGCAGTCAGGCGCAGCATTTTCGCACACGTGCACTATCAAAGTCCCAGATTGAAGAACCTGGGTGTGGCTAATGCATCTGGTTTTGCTCAACAGTCGTCCAAGAATGATACCTGCCGAGCATGGCCTTGCAAATCGACCAAAGGCCGTATGGTGCCCTTTGGAGGCTTCACCTTCTCATGCATGACCCGCAAGCCATCCAGGAAGACTTGAAAAGACGATTCCTCAGACTCTGAGTGGCTCCACACAGCTCGAATCTTGCTGCTCTCTTTCATGTCCTGAAAGATGCGGGCACCGGGCTTGGGAGTGACATGATGACCAACTCCATCTTGATAGCAATGGGATCCTGATAGTGGCCAACAACATGCCATGCGTCCCAGGTGCAAATCACTCTATGCCGCATATGCCTATGAAAAGATATAGATTTTTGTGGTAATCCTAGAATTTGCGCAAATCAAAATCAAACTCTGAACTCTAGAGGAGAATCCACGGCTCTCATACCCACCAATGACGCAGCCAGCGCAGGTCTTGGCCTCCTCTTGCCGAGCGACGTAGGCTGGCTCATCTCCGTTGTAGAAGCCAACCGCAAGCACTCGTCCGGTAGCAGTTGGGTCAAAAGCATCCACGGAAATGGTAAATTCATAGCCATTCTTGCCCATCTGCATTGGCCGGCCCAAGCAAACTCCATGCATTGCCTCCTTCACTCTTCTAGCAGACTGGCCCTGACTACAAACTTCAACCGCTTCGCCCATGGTGTCTTTGTCAAACTCTTGCGCTGGGTGGAATACAAAAGCACCTTCCTGGCAAACCATGTTCCCATTCTTCGATCTGACTTCCACTTTCGCTGGGCCCTCAGGGAACCGTAGTGGGAGAATAAAGGCAGCCGTCGTTGTTGTCGACGGTGCGACATCACACAGCTGACAAGGCCTGCCGCCAATTGAAAGCTCTGATATGGGTGCCACCATGTCTGTTGTGGTGCACACGACCTTGAAGCCACCTCTTGTGGGTCCCCTAGATGGCTCAATGCTGCAAATTTCACCGGGAAAGTGCGTGGTGAAGGCTCCACTGTAAGCAGTCATGGGCAAAGATCTCTTCCACTGAATCTCCACGTCAAACTGGCCACAATGGGAGGGCAACTTTGGCGATCGCAAAGAGCCATTCCCCTGGGAAGCACAAGGCTTTCCATCGATCAACACGCAAAAGGGCTCTTCGTCACCCTCCCATTGCAAATCGATGGCATGGTCACATGGACCACAAAGTGGCGAGATCGGCGGATCTTCCTCGCCACCCTGCTCAGAGCAGCTGGTGCACGTAGGCTCTCCAAGGTCTGTATCCTCTGTGGAACTGCTATCGTTGCACACCAAGCCACACTCCTTTCGAACAGCTTTGACATAGTTCAAGATCTCTGAGCACCGCTTGCACTTTGCCAGCAATTCAGTCTTGCGACTGCTAGCCGCTTCGCAATCCAACTCATAGCGATCATGATTCTCACTGATGATTGTCAGCAGCTCATTACACCGGTGATGGATGTGATCCTTGGCATGCTTCAGCTCGTATGAGATGACTTGCTTGATCCCAGACATGATCAGTTTGTGCATCTCTTCCCGGGCCAGGCCAATGTGCTGTTTCCACAACTTTTTGAGAGAAGACCCCTTCACCGAATGCGAGTCAACGACTTTGGCGATGTAAGGGATTTGTTTGTCATACGTCCCCCACCGGAAGAGGCCCAAAAAGTACCAAGGCGCTTTTTCTATCCGAGATCTTTGGACCTTCGTCGTGTTTTCATTGAAGAGTGACTCATGCCTGGCTCCCATTTTCAAGAGTTCCTCAACATTGGTGTCCGCAACATGTTGGAAGCGAAAGCTCTCTGTCTTCATGTTCAAATCCAGCATGCTGCCAGCCTCCTTCAACATGAATTCAAGCACAGGCCGAGCAGCCCTTCGCACATCATCTTGCAATTTCCCACTAGCCTCGTTCAATTCAATCGCCATTCCCTTGCACTCATACTGACAAAATTGATGCAGCATGCTCTGCAGCTTTGTATTCTGACTCTGGACAAACCTTTCCGCCTCCTCGCGGCTCTTGAACTTTGCTGGCACCTTAAGTTTGCCGTCTTCACCCCAAAGCTGCACCCACACTCTCAGGCCAACCTCCAATTCTTGCAGCGACCGAGCATCGAAAAGGAAGTCAATCATTTTCTTGGCGTTGCCAAACATCTTGTCGATCGCTGCTGCTACGATCTGCTCAAAGTTCTCCTCATGGTTCTTGTCAGCAATGTCCTTTTCCATAGCCATGAGCTGCTTCTTCAGGCGTTCAACCAAGGCCTTGCCTTTCTCCACTCGTTTCGTTAGCGTGTTCTGGGTAGCTCCAAGGGCAGCCAACTCAAAATGTGCAGAATTGTCCACGACATCTAGAATAGACACTGCTGCGTCACACAGCTTCTCTGCCATGATCCGCTCCTTGTCCTTCATGATGCTGTGCAACACTTGCTCTTCAAAGCTGCATATTTCTGAGCCTTTGACCATGCTTTCTGCTGCTTGGGTGGCCAGCATTGTGAAAACTTCTGGTGGAATGCTGTCTTTTAGGCTGTTTGCGCTTTCTCCGAAGGCAATTTTCTCAAACTCTTGACGAAACTCAGGATCCTTGTGGAGGCGTTCTCCTTCTGAAAACTGTGCCTGGCGACCAAAGTAGGCCTTTTTGGCTGATATAGGCACAATCTGGTGAGGGTGGATTGGAATGTCCTTGAGCATCTTCCGAATCCGCTGTGACACAAAGTCCTTTATCTTGTCAATATCATCCACTTCTTTCTTCTCATCAATCTTGTTTAGAAGGAACCAGAAACGGGAAGATTGCTTGGAGATCATAGCCTCACAGCTCTCACGGAGCTGGTCAAACATCTGCTGCTCATCAGTCGATCCTATCTTGGTGTAGTCCAAGAGGTAAATGATCACATCCGCAGATTCGATGGCTAACTTCAACTCAACTTTGAGAGCGGCTTGCGCTTCATTGGGTCCAGGCGTATCCATGAGAGTGAAGCTACCTGAAAGCCCCAATGACGCACACGAATCAAATGATAGCACAGGCGCATGCAAAGTCAAACAAGACGAAGATTGCTGCAGGTGTGCTTGAGCCTGCAAGTCGTCATGCTCATCTGCCTTCTCCCACTTGCACTCAGAAGGAGACACTGGCAGGGGCAACAACGAATGGGCCTCAACCTCTTCAATGAGCGAGCCTGAGTCGGTTTCCACTGTGTAACGCCAATCAGAGACACAGGTCACCGTCCCATCATGCCACTGTCCATTATGACACACTTGAACCCTTTCCTGCCACACTGGTGAGTCGTCAGCTGTGAGGAAGCGGAATTGTATACTGCCAAGACTGCTGAACAAGCGCATGTAGTGGCCATCACAGTCTTGCAGCCAATTCTGCCAGAAGCGAACCGCTTGAACCGCAAACTTGTCACCCACACTAATAGGAGAGTCGGCCTTTTCTTCAAAGCCCCAATCTGTGTATGTGGCAACTCCTTTTTGGGATGAAAACCAGCCTGTGGGGTCACCGTGGATACACTCAGCTCGGAGAATACAGGGCGGCGAGCTCGATTTCAAAGCTGAAGTGGCTGGCCAGAAGCAGGTGCCCGCTGGCCAGCACATCATGCGAAACCTTGCTCGCTGCAAATGAACAACCACAACAACAACCACAACAACAACAACAACAACCACAACCACAACCACAACGACAACGACAACGACAACGACCACGACAACAACGACGACGACGGCGACGACGACGACGACGACGACGAGAATAACAGCAGCAGCAAACTGTCAACCTTGACCCCTTTAGACAAAATCACTTAAAATTCCTAAAACATGTCAACCCAGACAAGAAACTGCAACCCACCTGCTTCAAACTGTACAACCACAGACCACAACTTGCTTCTGTATCTTGCAGCATCGGAGCCACGTACCAGAACCGTGTAATCCTTCCCTCTCTTTGGCTTTAATGTCGGTCCTGTGTACAGGAGCCCGAAGTATTGGGTGGCTTTTGTGGGCTTGTGCCACAATGTCAGCACCAATACACATGAGGTTGCGCGATCTGCGACTGCGTGAATTGAAACCGTGCCATGGGATGAACCTTGCAAAATGTACGTGCCCTCTGCTGAAGGAAGCTCCTCCTGCGACTCTTGCACTTGCAAATCTTCAGGGATGGTGGAGATCTGGGCTGCTTGCCGTCGCCGATCATTCTGCGTCTTTAACTCCTGCAAAATATTTGCACGGCCTTCGGCAAGTGTAGTACCCGTCCCATCCAGAAGCAAACCCTGTGTTCTCTCCACATCGTGCTGAATCCTGAGGAGGGCGGCTGTTTGCGGCTCTACAGTCGCCGGGCAAAACTCCTGGCCCAACATCGCATTGAGCAAACTGCTTTTGCCAGCTTTCATTAGAGCCAACACCGCCACGGTGAGGTTCTTGGATTCAGACTTGGCTTGTAGCATCTGAAGGTCCTCCTCCGCAAGACCAAACTTCTGCAATTCTTCCAAGAGTGTCTCGATGTTGGGACTCTCTGAACGTCGCTCGGTGGGTCCGAGTCCTGCCATGTGTCACAGGATTGTGTCTACTCAAAAA